ATGCGCAGGAAGGCAGCCATGAACATGAACTCAAAAGAAACATGTAAACCTGTCTGCTAAACCCACAGGATTCAACCCCCCAACATATCAAACTCTAATGCAACATTCGCTGAAGACTCAATAACGTAAAACCCACAAGACATACGACTACAAGGATGAGGGAATGGGGAAAACACTTTGGCAATAGCAAAATAGACCAGTCCATTCTTGCTGCAATTTTCTGTTGCAAGCTCACATCTCCAACTCACGCCAATGATAGGTAAGAATGTACAAGACTTATTGTTTATTAAACCAACCCACACAAACCAACCCACAGGACATTTCAGTCAAGCTACAAACCAAATCAAGCGTTTGAAACAAAACCAAAACTTCGGCCATCTAAGGAAAAGAAAAGGTATTCGCGCATGCTGCTGCAACAGGACCAAGAGCTTTAAGCTCATTGCAGCAGAATTCATGCGCAGGTTTCTGCAACTTGTATCAAACAGAATCAAAACTTGCGATTCTAACAAGTGAAACCATCCTAATCTTCTAACATGATTTGTCCGAACATCAACCAAGTCAACTAGTGTTTGTCAAACAGAAATTCTGGAGCAAAATGTGCAAAGAAAGAAAAGAAAACAACGAGAGGACGGGGGGGGAAACATTTCTGCAATGGTGGACCGGCCATGCTTGCTGCAGTTTTACATTCCAATCAAAACTCATAGATATGGAACAACTCAAACCAAGACCAACACCCATGTAATAGCTTTAAAACCATGTTGTTAACAAGCACTCTAAACCAAAATGACTGGGTAGAAATGCAGCAAAAGAAAGGATGACACTTGCAGCAAAATTTCAGTCACGGCCTTTCTTTCCATTTTTATCATGAAGACCAGATTTTGATTCAAATGCACAGCTTTGATTAGATATTCTTCATCTCAACATCACAACTTTAAACTGAGCAACAAAAATTCATGATGATCACAATCCAATGACCAGAAACTTGGAAAGATATCATACGAAAATTCTGGAAAAATGCGGAAAAGGAAGAACAATCAAAAGTTGGAAGCTTTTCTACAAATTCATTGCTACTTTCTGCAGTTTCCGTAGCTTAACATTCCCCAAAGGCTACACAGAACAAAGTTCAGCAAAACTACATCCTATGCTCATGCACTAAAGAGACACAATGAAACGTAAAACAGGCTGTAAAGACAAACAGAAATAGCGACTGAAATGGCAAGATCAAAAGAAAGGGAGAACCTGATCTGGAAAGCTTTAGTCTTTCAGTATCTTTTTCCTCCCAGCTTTCTCTCTTGTTCGGCCAGGCTCCTCCCCCAAACGAAGCCCCTTTTTCACACGAAGCTCCTCCTTTTCAAAGCTCGGTACTTTAGCCGTCACCACTTCCTCTATCTTTCAAACCTCTGCCGTCAACCTGCTTAGCTCTCTCGGTCGCTCCCTCTTTGTTTTCCTCTCCAAACCCTTCCTCTCTTGCTCATAACCTCTCTCACTCTCTTTCTTTTCTCGTTTCTTTCCTCAGCCTCAGACCCTCGCGACCTCCCTTCTTTTTTTCTCAGCCCGTCAACCTCTCTCGTTGGTTTTTTCCTAGCCGTCTTTCTCAATCTTCCCTCTTGCTCTCGGTTTCCGCCGCTACTAAAATCTCTCCCCTTTTCTTAATCAGTCGCCCTCTCTTTTCTTAGCTTCCATAGCCGCTGTTTTTCTTTCTTGCTGTTCCAAAGACCTCTCTCCATTTGCGGCTGTCAATTCTTACCTCTCTCTCTATCTCCCCTCACGGTTCTCTTTTCCTTAGTCACTCTTTCCAGCTCTCTACTTCCAAAGACCCTGGCTTTTTCTTCCAGTTTTTATCTCCTCAAACCCGTCAAACCCCAGCTCTCTCTCTCGCTCCCTCTCTCGGTTGTTCCTACTTTCTTTTTGTTTTGCAGATTTGCGGCTTCCCTCCTCTCTTGCATCTCTTTCTTTTTTTACCCAAGAACCCCCCTCCTAAACCCTTAAACACTCTTCTATATTTTGCAGATAAGGGCTCCCCGAGCCCTCCCCTTGCAAGCTGCGAAAATATGCAGCTTGCATGCTACGGGCTCTTTCTTTCCCTTTTTTTTTTTTTTAAAAGTAATTTAACAAAATTGATAATAAAATTAAGTAATAATTATAATAATAAAAAACGACAATTTAAGTAACATCACATCAAAATAAACAAACTAAAACCAAGTTGCCATTTTTCAATCTTTTTTTTTTCATTTTCATCTTTTTCCTTTTCTTTTTTTTTCTTTTAAGAAAACATGGAATTTAAATTACAAACGACTAAATCATATTTTTTTGAATGCTTTTTCTTTTCCTTTTTTTTTCTTTTTTTCAAAAAATTCTATGATAAAAACTTAAAAATAAAAATAAAAATAAAACTAGAAACTAAAAACTTAAAACAAATAAAACTAGCACTAGAAATAAAAAACTAAAAATAAAAAGTACATGAAATTACACCAAAAATTTGGTGTCTACGATAACAACCTACAATTTCAGTCGGTCATCACTCAGTTCACATAGGTTCAGTCAGTGAACCTTTAAGTTTCAAATCAGAATTTCGTTCTTCAGTCGAAGCTCAGTTTCTCTGCTCAAACACTACTTGCAGCTTGTTTATCCATTCATATTTACCGAATAAGCATGAGATTATTGCATGTTCTTAACATTATTATCCCAAGAAATATTAAGAACAGTTGCAAGTTCCAATTTAAGCTCAGTTTCTGCAATTTCACAGTTTCTGCACAACACTTTCTTGAACCAGAAGCTAAATTCCTAGCTAAGCTCAACTTATAGCTCATGTTTAACCAATTATACTATCTAAACAGTGAGTTGTTATGGAGAGTGTTACCTTTTCCCCCTTAAGGTTCGTTATTACAGGCTGCTTATGTTTCTGTCTCGATTCGTCAGTCCTAATTCCAGCTTCTCCTACCTTCCATGCTGTATTCTCTCTTGTCTTCGTTGGTGTAGTTTTGGTTAGTTGATGGTGAAGCTAGCCAGGCTTTCTCTTTTCTCACCCTCTCTGTTTCCTCTCGGTTGTGATTTATAAAGATTGAATGGAAGAAAAGAAAAACAGAACTAGATAGTCTCCTTTGCTCTCGGTCACTACCTAACTTAGCAAATGTTAACCACCGCCCAAACTAGCAAGCCGACTCCTAATTGTTTCTTCCTTTCCACCGTTTAGACTTAGCAGTTTTTTGTAGCTGATTTCTCTTTGATTTCTCTCTTTGGTCACCGCCTAAACTTAGAAAATAGTTGTCTTGTTTCCTCTCAGCTACCGCCTAAGTGTTTTGGCAATTGATTTGCTTAGAGTTCCTCTCGGTATCTTATCAGATTATTTCTTCTCTCATTAGTCACTTATCCCTCTGTTTAGAAGAAAGAAATATTACTCGGTGGTCAATTCTTCATTCGGTGCCACAGACTTCAAAGTTCTCCACTCAGTGACCAATTCTCCAGAAATTTCCTCCATTCAGTTCTTATTTAGAAATCTGATGACTTGCTTGCTGGCTGCATCGTGGTTTAACTGAAATTCAGGTTTAGTTTAATCTTTTAACTTTAGCTTATTTGCTTGCTAAGGGTCTGTAGTTTTATTATCTCGTGCATTGATTCCAGATTTCATTTGTTCTAATTTGTATACCCTTGAAAATTCTCTTACATTTATCGAGAAGATTTTTCACACATTTGGTTTTAAAGAAAATTAACCAGACATGTATCTTACTCAACTATATATGTTACGTGTCTAACAATATATGCAAATGACGCGAATTACAATATACATACCATATGTTTATTTGATTCATATAAAAAAATTTACACCATTCTAGGATATTTCTAAATTCTAAATTTTATAGAAATTCAATTAGGCATTTTAATTTAACCATTTATTCATTATATGTAATACTTCAAATATCAAAGTAAATAAAATAAAATAAGTTCATGGCATATACATAATTTTCTCGAGTTCTCACATCTAACATTCAATAAACACTTAAACCAATAAAATTAAGCAAGCAATGCACATTTCACTGTATAATCACTTTCAAAAGGATACAAACTCCTCCTGGGAGTCATTTCAATATCATTGCACACTCATTTCAGTGTCATTGTACATTTATTTCAATATCATTGCACACTCCACCAATTCACCTCCTTATATCCTCCAAAACAATAATACTATCCCCTACATTCAGTGATCAATTCAGTAATCAGTTCAGTAATCTCTCAACTCCAGGGTAATACTCGAGTATACCAAAATAGTTTCTCAAAGCTTCCGTCCTATCCGACCAAACCCTTTGCTGGCTCGAATAGTCCGTTGAACAGAGGGTTTTGGGGCCCAGTTCAGCCGATGCGATAAAGTACACATATGGCTTACATTCATGCACACTTACAACAACATTTGGTCAATTATCAACCTTCAAACTCAACTAAACCGAGTGCGATAAAATACACCTCCGACTTAGAAGGCGAGGGACAATTGAGATACACTTTACAATAAATCACTAGCAATATTCTATAATAAGCACATTTATCACATAATTTCACTTAAGTAAACATAAACAGTTAAACACATAAATTTGAAAACACTCATTGAACTTTAGCTCAATCTTGTAGTTTGTTTTTCTTACAGGGTTGGTGGTCGAGAAACGAACGAGGGAGCTTGGGGAGTTAACATGAAGTCTTTTGTGATTATAAATTATCTAGTATCGTATCACGGCTGAAGTTTTGTATTAAACTTGGCATTGTAAAAGATTTGAACGCCTTTAGGCCGAGGGCACGTCTGCCTGGGTGTCACGCATCACGTTGCCACCCCCTCCCGCGGGGGTCGGCGGAGACTGGCCTCCCGTGCCCCCGGGCGCGGCCGGCCTAAACGCGAGTCCTCGGCTAGGGACGTCACCACTAGTGGTGGTTGAGTCCCTCAACTCGAGTCCTTGTCGTGCCGTTAGACCACCCGCCGCAGTCGGGGCTCCGACGACCCTGAAGAGAATCGCTCT